GTCACTATGTCATTATTAAGAACTTTCTTTGCTACACTACAAGCCTAACTAGAAAGTTCCTAAAATAGTCCTGCAATTATTTATGGATAGATCTTGCTCAATTTGCCTCCACAGCTGCTGATCCCCTCATCTCCTCGCCGCAACGTCACACAATGAAGTTCATCTCCCTCTCTTCTAGCTTTAGATAAGCCCTTTAACAGGGCTTTTTTTAGCCGTAACTCACCAGAACTGAGTTCCGCCACCTCTTTGGCGTGTTTTGGCAGCCTTTTGGCAGCTGTGTGCATGTGTCGGAGGTTGTGGGGCAGTGCGTTTCTCCCCCCCCCAAAAAAAGGTTTTGCTCCCCCTGAAAAAATCTCCTCAACTTAGGGTTGTTGATCAAAGTACCTCTTTTTTCTAGGAAAAAAAGGAAGGGAACCATGTGTGCAGCCAGCATGTAGGCACATTGCAGAAATTTGGAGCGAATATGAATGGCTCCCCAAGAAGCATGTTCTGTTCATGTCAGGTGCAATCTGCAACCCGAATGCTTGCCCAGTAACAACTTCCATAGAAATAGTTGTGTTAAACTCTTGCAGCAAAAAACATTTGGTGCATCTTAAAGCCTAACCAATTTATTATTGGTTTGATGGACCAGAGTCCAATTCATCTGATGCATGTTATCCTAAGGTTGCTAGGTATATCACTGTTTTACACATTTATCGAAAATAAAAAGACTATGCCTCAGTGGAAGTACAATTCAAAAGAAAGGATGTGTCTGGTTACCAGTCACCCTATTTCAGCGAGGGGGCAGGCACAGAGGGCCTCTATGGGGGTTCTATCCAATCATGTTTCAGAAGCCACATTAAACAATTATAAAAATTCCATATGGATGAGCATTTGAGAGTCCACCAAATTTCTCTGCTTGGTGGAAAGAAGTCAACACAGCGCCTTGCATCCTTGTTCAAGGAATGCCAGGAATGAATTAGTTTAACATATCAAAAGTCACACATATCACACTATTCTCTTCTCAGAATATGTTATGGTTGTTCCCAAGTGATTGGTGAGAACAACTAAATCAGGAGATCTGAATAAATTTTGATGAAGTAACTCACTGGATAGAATAAAAAACTGACCTTCCAAATTCAATGTATGGTGGGCCTCTCTACAGTGTGATCTGCTGATTTTAATTACAACTAAGTTTTATACAGCTTCTAAGGGTTAAAAAAAAAGGTTTCTACCCCTGTCACATGCACTTGACAACTCTGCAAAATATTTTCTTTAATGCTACACAGCAAGACATTTTAGAGCCGAGACTGGTAAACCCTGTAGGCTTTCCAAATGGCTTTGAATTATCTCTCTTCAATTAATGTTTCATTCCCTAGAGTAAGTTCATTAAAAAATCCTATCACTGCAATTAGCACATTACTAACTGCTTATCCTATTATAGAATTTAATTGCTTACTGTGGCCAGTACACTTTGGTAACACCAAGTAGGTTCAACCCTAAAAACATTTAATATACATTCCCTGTTTCAGGATTCTACAGTTTTGTTTGTGAAAATGTGTTTACCGCAATACGCTGTTGGTTGTTTCTCTCCTTCCTCCAAATTCAATTATATGCAATTTTACAGATATTGAACACTTACATAAAAAGATCGTGTTACATCCCTCACCTTTGCATAATGGTATACATTTAACACAAACCAGGATTGGTCTTAACTATTATCTTTATAATTATGATACAACTTCATTCAACATATTACTTGTCCTCCTTTAGCAATTCTAGTTAATCTTTAAGCATGTATTCTGACCCTTTCCGTAGCATCAAAAATGAACTTTTGTTTTCTAGCTGGCTATCTTGACAACCATCAGATAAGTAAACTAGACTCCCATCTGTGATGCCAATAAGCAATTTATAACAGGAATGTGTCATTTACGGTATTTTAACACCTCTGAATGCAGTTTATTAACACTGAATCCATAGTCAACATACTTGCATTTCATAAGGATCTCACTATTGTTGAAGGAGCACACAAAGTGTTCAAAAACGGGGGGGGGGGCACTATTCTCAAACTGAGCTGACACTACAGCTAACATTACAGAAAGATAACTGACAAACAGAATATATCAAACTGTTTTAAGACTGTGAGCGGATGAATGAAGAGACAGGGAGATTCTGTGGTTCTCCTTGCCTCAAAACACCCTGACATAGAAGGAGAAAAAAGCTTATGATGAGTTTGATTGCATTACAGCCCATTATCTAGCCCAGTGTTTCCCAACCGGTGTTCCGCAGCACACTAGTGTGCCGCGAGACGTTGCCTGGTGTGCCGCGAGATGTTGCCTGGAGGGAGGCGGGCGAGTCGGGCGGCGAGAGGCGGGGCGGCGGCGAGGAGAGGCCGCCCAGCGCGGGGCTCTCGCCGTCTGCCTGCCTGGCTGCCTGCGTGGCGCTGACGTCACGGGGCTGTAACGTGCCCCACATAGGCACACGCGGGGCGGCGAGCGAGCTCCCTCCCACATCCCATCGCCGCTCGCTTCGGCCGGCCTACTGGGCTGTCGCAGGCGGAAGGCCTGCGCATGCGCGAGGTTTTCGCGCCTTCGGGATTCCCTTCACGCCTTCCTCCTCCCGAGTCCTTGAGAGCGCGGGAAGCGGCAGCGCGAGACCGGCGTTGAGCCTGGTAGGTATTGCGCTTGCCAAGGCAGTCATTTGGGAAATGAAAACTTGCAAAGCAAGCAACCAGTTCAATCTGAAGTACGTGTATGCTTAATATCCTGTATCTGAAACCTGTTCTGCCCCCTCCCCCACACTTGGTGCCATTTTCATCTACACATGCAGCAGAGTAAGTTGACCCAGAATAGTACCAATTCAGATGGCAGATGGGAGAATGATAGTGCTGAATGCTTTCCCATGTAGAACAGTCCCTGCAAATAAAAACCTAGCATATTTGGAAGAGGGATGCTAGCCTAACCATTACCTTCTATGCTGTTACTATTTTTTTATTTTTTTTTACATAAGTAAAAAGTGACCTTTCCCCATCTGGCATGGTGGTGTGCCTCAAGATTTTTTTCATGAAACAAGTGTGCCTTTGCCCAAAAAAGGTTGGGAAACACTGATCTAGCCTACGATGTGGCAATGATAGAGGTGGAAAAAGCATTTTTTCCTCCTCAATCATTTTCCAGAGGAGCATATCTGAGTGCTGCAGGGCTAATTACGGTACCATCTGGCCAAGGTAGAACTCAGTTGCTAGCTGTTACACATTTGCAGGACACTCTGAGGGTGAGATTGTTTGGCCCTTGTGGTTAACATACAGCATCATTGGGTCCCATCTTTCTAGATGGCTTTCAGTTATTGGAACCTCAGAATACAGATGGGGTTGGCACTTGGTCAATTCCAGCTGACCACTGACCAGCATAGAAAATATGTCCAGCTCAGAAGGGCTGTGGATGAAGAACTCTGCCCAAGCAGCTTAATGGACTGGACGAGGGTTAATAAACTGACATTCAACCCAGACAAAACAAAGATATTCTGGATGAGCGTTGGTCAACCTGGCTCTGGAAGGAGTTACATTCTTCCCAAAGGATCGGGTTCACAGGGTGCTTATTGATGTGACACTGCCTTAAGAGGCTCATGCGGCCTCTGTGGCTCAAAGCACCTTTTTATCAACTCCAGTTGATAAACTAGCATTACTATACATCAATAGAGATAGCTCAGTTGGAGTTACAGGTGCTCTGGTAACTCCCAGAGGTAAATTTAGGATATTGCAATGTGGGCTGCCTTTAACAGTGGTCTAAAACTGTTGATCTGAAACAGGGACTGGGTGTTTATATCATATTATGGCAGGGCTTTATATGCAATACTGGCTTCCAGCCTGGGTCTCATTTAAAGTGCTGATTTTAATCTTTAAATCACTTAATAGCTTGGGACTAGGTTAGCTAAATTGGTGGCGCTGTAGGTTAAACCACTGTGCCGCTTGGGTTTGCCAATCAAAAGGTTGGTGGTTCAAATCCCCGCAACAGGATGAGCTCCCGTTGTTCTGCCCCAGCTCCTGCCAACCTAGCAGTCTGAAAGCACGCCAAAAAAAGTGCAAGTAGATAAATAGGTATCGCTCCGGCAGGAAGGTAAACGGTATTTCCGTGCGCTGCTCTGGTTTCTCCAGAAGCGGCTTAGTCATGCTGGCCACATGACCCGGAAAAATTGTCTGCAGAAGCAGACAAACGCTGGCTCCCTCGGCCTGTAAAGCGAGATGAGTGCTGCAACCCCAGAGTCGTTCGCGACTGGACTTAATTGTCAGGGGTCCCTTTACCTTTACCTAGAAACCACCTTATTCTGAATATGCCTAGTGTATCTGTAAGATCATCATCAGAGGCAAAGTTCCACATGTCCCTAGCAAACAAGGTGAGAAGATGGAGAGGGCCTTCTCAGTAGTGGAATGGCTTCCAAAGAGGCATACTAGATGTCTTCCTTTTGAAAGGCTTTTATTTACTCAAACCTTTTAAACAACTTGTATTATAAAACAGAAGTAGAACAAAACAAGTTGTGTGGGGTCCTAGTAACTGAGGTGCACTTATTTTATAATCTGAGCTGCTAACTGATTTTATTTTTCCTTTGCTCTAAAGGAGAGCTTTTAATGCTGCATTTTATTGTCTTTATTGCCTTTTAATTATTGTGTTTTAATGTAGTTTGGTATTCTTTGTTGTCTAAGTCGACCAGAGAGTTTAAATTGATGGGCACACAAATTCAGTAAATAAAACGAGGCTCCATTATTTATCTGCACTTTCATCATGCCTTGAACCTTTAGCAATCTTTATGCAAGAAATGGAAACAGAGGAGAGCAGAAAATAACTGTTATTTTGTGTGAACATATATAGACTAGGCACTACGGATAGAAAGGTCTCTTTTAAAGTACGTACGTCTCTACTTGAGCATGTGGAAATCCAATACAGAATGCCCATGGACTATTTATGGGTACTTGCATTCTACTGAACAAATAAAGCCTAGAGAGAAATGGTAAAATCCAAAACTTTTACCTGTTGGGCACTAATGTACAATCAATGTCTGGCCTTTTTGTTTTCGGAATGGCATAAAGAGGATATCGGTCCCCATGGCGAATCAGCACATGAACAGAATTCAGTTTAAAATAGTGAGGTGCATGACCTATAAAAGAAACATTAAAATTGATTTAAAAAAACAACAATCAGTTTTAGAAGTCTAGAATTCACCAAGTTCATATATTCAGCTACATACCATATAGGCAATAAAGGAAAAAACACATAAGCTGATCTTTACAAGTCAAAAAATAAATAGAACATGTTGTTGTTGTTGTTTAGTCGTTTAGTCATGTCCGACTCTTCGTGACCCCATGGACCAGAGCACACCAGGCACTCCTGTCTTCCACTGCCTCCCGCAGTTTGGTCAGACTCATGTTTGTAGCTTCGAGAGCTACAAACAGAACATAAACACACACAAAAGCAAACATCCAACAGCAACAAAGATGCATTATTCTAATATGCTATAAACTGTTAAAAGAAGACAAGAACAGGGAGGGAGAATACTAAAATGGGAAAAGGATTATCAGATATACCGTATATACTCGAGTATAAGTCGACTTTTTCAGCACATTTTTTATGCTGGGGGAAAAAAAACCCCAGCTTATATTCAAGTGAGGGTCCCTGTTGGCGGCGGAGGAATGAGCAGCCCAAAAGCAGCCCTTTTGGGCTGCTTGTTCTTCCTCCGCTGCTGCCGCCACCAGCCTCTGCCTCTTAGCAGCAGCCTAGGTAGGCAGGGGGACAGGAGGGGCTGGGGGGAGGAGAGAAGCCCCCTCTGCCGTGTGCGCATGCATGCGTATACACACACTCGAGCCCACCAGGTGGTTTGTGGTGTGGTCAACCGGCTTATACTCAAGTCAGTAAGCTTTCCCAGTTTTTTGTGGTAAAATTAGGTGCCTCGGCTTATATTCGGGTCGGCTTATACTCGAGTATATACAGTAATTGTCTATTTGGAATTCCAAAAGATTATTTAAACATTCCAAAAGATTATTTAAATGTTCCAGTTCTTCAATTTTATTTATCAATCCATCCTCATTTGTCTCTCACAAACGTAATTTTGTTCAGTTTTGCAAGATGCCAGAGTTTAATGTGTCAGTTACATAAATGAGGAGTTTCTTCTCTTCCTCAATATTTTGTACAAGTTACAGTGCAACCCTATATATGCATACTCAGAAGTAAATGCCATTGAATTTAATGGAGCTTCCTATCTGACTCAGCACAACTAAGAGGGCCTCCTCAGATTATTGATTGCTCTAGAGCCTATCTTAAAAGGTGGTATATATTTCAATGTCTGTTTGCAAGGGAGCGTGTTGCATTCATGTTTCCAAGACCATCCAATCAGCCAAGAGTTAGAAACAAACTGGTGTATAACCTTTGCTAAAAAACCAGAAGCTTTCTTATTAGGTATTATAGGAGTGGACCTACCAAAATTACAAAAGAATTTGTTTATGTAAGCAACAAAGGCCGCACAGACTTTAGTAGCAAAATATTGGAAAGAAGAAGGTGGCTCATCCAAAGAAGATTGGCAAGTTAAACTAATGGAATACGCTGATATGGCAAAATTGATGATGAAATTAAGAGGAAGAGATGACACTGAATTTAAGGAAGAATGGAAGATGTTTATTGCATATATACAGAAGCAATGTACACAGGTTAATACATTAACAGGGTTTTAAGATTGTAGGGACGCGGGTGGCGCTGTGGGTAAAAGCCTCAGTGCCTAGGGCTTGCAGATCGAAAGGTCGGTGGTTCGAATCCCCGCGGCGGGGTGCGCTCCCGTTGCTCGGTCCCAGCACCTGCCAACCTAGTAGTTCGAAAGCACCCCCGGGTGCAAGTAGATAAATAGGGACCGCTTACTGGCGGGAAGGTAAACGGCGTTTCTGTGTGCTGCGCTGGCTCGCCAGCACTGGCCCCTGGCCTCTTAAGTGAGATGGGCGCACAACCCCAGAGTCTGTCAAGACTGGCCCGTACGGGCAGGGGTACCTTTACCTTTACTTTAAGATTACTTGTAATTTTATTATGAATGGATAATACGTAATTTAAATATGTTACAAATTTAACAATGGACATGCAGTATCTTTATAAATAATAGAGCCAAGGAAGGGATTAGATGGAAGTCAATTTGTTTTGTTTTTGCATTGTTTTTTGTTATTTTTGGAAAATCAATAAAATGTTATTTTTTTTTAAAGGAAACACATTGGCGTATTAGAAGAACCTTTGGTCTGATCCAGTAGGACTGACTGCAACTGAGCCAAGTAGGTGGTGAGGTTTTCAAAGCTTTGTTTTTTACTTTATTTACTATAGCAGCTTGCTTCTACCTGGAAATTTTCAGAGCACTCTGTATCAAGAAAGCATGCATTTGAAATTAAAACACCAGTAATTACACAGAAATAAAGCAGCAGACACCAATGCTGTAACAGGCTTACCTTCCATACTGCGTTCAGGTATGTTGGGAATGTTACAATAAAACTGGGCTTCGAAAATTGGATCTATAGCAGGTGTCTCCGTCAAAGGATCAGGCATTATTCTCTTTCGATTCTTGGAGCCAAGATCATCCTCTTTAACAGGGTTAACAGGGATCAAGTGTACTAAAAATACAAATAAGCAACATTCACATCATTTTGCTATTGTTGCATGATGTTAAAGCTCTATCATTTGACTCAAAATATAAATACAAATGTTTTCCAGGATATCCCTATTACATTAGGCATACCATAAGTGTGACACACAACAAGGGATGGGGAATTGGAAACAGGGAAAAAATAAAAGAAATGTAGAATCATCACTACTGATGCCCTGCCACTGAAATATTTTCCACACCGCTAGATTAACCTAGCTGATTTCTGTGGTGCAAGTGCAATTTACCATATATTTCAAAATATACCTGGAATCTCTGCCCATCTGCTATCCTCCCCAGCCCTACTCCACAGTCCTACAATAGCACCTTTAAAAGGGGCTACAAATTCATAATATGTTCTACAGTTACACAAAAATACAAATACTTGTAATAATAAATATTCCTATTTTAATAGGAAGAATATACGCATTACAGTGGCTACGATAAAAGCTACTTCTAAAGATGGAAAGACCCGTGCAATAAGCCAAATCAATATTACAAACTTGCATTTCGGTATCACTGACTATGTCTTATATATATTTTCAGTGGACTGCAAAACATTAAGATATATTTACTTTTTGTTTGAAGAATAGTAATCAGAATAGGAAGCAATGTAAGCATTACAAAAAAGCATAGAAGGAAGAAAGCAGAGGGAGCAAAATCATCAATTTTAAACCATTTACCTAAAATTAGAATAAAAGAAAGGAAATCTGTTTCCCATTTTCTTTTTCCTTTGAAACCACAAACGGTCCAAAAAGAGTATGCAGAGAAAGTAGCCATTTCAGTCTGGAATTTTTTTCTTAGTGGTAGCCTTAAATACAGACTGTTCTTTCAGTTCCATGCAACCAAACTGTTTAAAACTTTTTCACTGACGTAGGAAGTAGGTCACACAGCAAATACTTTTTCAAGTTACGTGGCAATTTTTCATCAGCATGGAAGAGAAAATATGCATAATAAGAACTATTCAAAGTTCATTATCCCTCTCCCCTAAAGAAGGGGCTTGTGGTTTCCAAATCTTGCAAAGTAGTTTTCACTAAAATATACAAATACAGAAAAAAGTAAAACACAAGTAAGAGACTAATTAGCACAGAAGCATATTAAAGGGTGGATATATGCTGTGTAAAGGGAGGGGAAATAAATGGTTAATTAAGAAAACACAGTGGCAGATATTATGCTCCCTCCCCCAAAAAAACCCAGCCTGGAGGAGACAGATAAGGTGCATATGGATTAGACAGCTGAATGGGTACAATGCCAATGCTGCCAATTCAGACACAAAGCAAACCTGAGAATGCACTGCAGAAAATCTTACCATCTGCTATGCCAATTTAAGGACTACTATCATGCCAGACTCAATTATAAAGTTGTATATTTTGGACTACTTAACATCTTTTATTGCTTGAGAAAAATGAAGGAATCGTAGAACTTCAAGTCTACTGCACTCCACCTACTTAATGGGGAGTAAGCCCCACTTAATGCAACAGGACTTACTTCTGAGTAGCATAATTAGGATTGTAGCATAATTCTAGTCATGTGATGTGGTGAGCTCTGAAGGAGTGTGAGCTTTCTTACACCACAATTCCATCTATTTGTCTACTTGAAAGCAAATTCATTGGGGCTTACTTCTAGGTAAGAGGGGCCAGGATTACAGCCTGTTAGCATGCCAGTGCATACAGACCATTGGTGGATGTTTCCTAGTTGCTAACTTTTTGAAATAATTCAGTCTTCATATTGCCAAACAAACAAATTGGCCACTGGATACACTCCAGATTAGGGCCACAGTGGAGGGCAAAGGATTAATGCCATAGTACCACAGAGCCTAGGACTTGGCGATCAGAAGGTTGGCAGTTCGAATCCCCGCGACGAGGTGAGCTCCCGTTGCTCGGTCCCTGCTCCTGCCAACCTAGCAGTTCGAAAGCACGTCAGAGTGCAAGTAGATAAATAGGTACTGCTCCGGCGGGAAGGTAAACGGCATTTCCATGCGCTGCTCTGGTTCGCCAGAAGCGGCTTAGTCATGCTGGCCACATGATCCAGAAGCTGTACACTGGCTCCCTCGGCCAATAAAGAGAGAGCACAGCAACCCCAGAGTCGGCCACAACTGGACCTAATAGTCAAGGGTCCCTTTACCTTTAACGTTTACTACTCCATTACAATAGAGATCCAAGGCTTATTGCCAGCATTGTCAAAAGAAGAACCTATTCAGTTTAATGAATCCTCCTTTGGCAATACAAATTGAAGGTGCAGGAGACTCAGTCCAGATCAGAACCACAGCAGAGAGCAAAGAGTTAAACCCCCTCTAGCCCGCACCCTAAACTAGGGCTCTGATAAGGCCCCAGTGTGATCAGGGGCAGAGGCCATCCCCACTTTGAATGCAACTCTCCAGGGGGAAAGTTTTTTCACCACTACGCTATATGAAGAAAGGATGTGAATGTTAACAGACATGTAAGATCTCGTGAGCTATCCTGCTCCTATCCCCTAACATGTCTTTCCCATCTCCACTTCCCCAGTTCCATTCAATCCTTCATTCCTAGAGTGGCCCTGTTTTTATTGTGCTGCATTGTCTAGCAGGTCCATTTCCTATCAAAGTAAGAGAAAACAGGGAGAAACTGCAAACAAAACTTCTTTGAAAGTATGTTAAACATTCAACTCAAAATGTGTCGTATGTTCAAAATGAATGGTCTTTAGTATATATTTTGTGCTTAATATAGCCTTGCATAATTCACACAAATAGAAGTCACCCTCCAAAAAGAAAAAGGAAAAATAAGATTACTAGATAGATCTTTCAACTCTCCTTGCAGAACAGGGAAATAAAAGGATTTACAGAAGCAGATGAAACCAGAAATAAAGTAACATTGTTCAAGTACACACTTTATTTAAACAGAAACGCAAATGGAGAATGAAACTGTTTACTGTGCTTATATTTTGAAATACAGGGGACCTCAAAGTAAACAAATTGCTAAAGAAATACCTACATTTGCACACTTGACAGTAGACTGAGCAAAGTCTTTTTATGCCAAGTCAATCAGGCAACAAATGTGCTCCAGCAGCTTTAGAGGCCTCTCAGTTTACAGTAAGACAGTTACAAATATCACAATATTGTGACACTATAACAAGAGACTTGTGTGTAGTAGCTAAATCAACAAATTCCATTACCTTTGACAAGCATGAAAATAAAACTATATTAAAAAGGAAACCATCAACAGCTTCCTAAGTTTGAGAGCAAACTTGCAAACCAAGCATTAAGTGACACGTACTTATGTTGCTGACAAACTAAGTACAGTGGTACCTTGGTTCCCAAATGGCTTAGTTGTTGAACAAATCGGCTCCCAGACGCCGCAAACCTGGAAGTGAGTGTTTCAGTTTTTGAACATTTTTTGGAAGCCGAACGTCCGACGCAGCTTCTGCTTGAGTGCAGGAAGCTCCTGCAGCCAATTGGAAGCCGCGACTTGGTTTTCAAACAGTTTTGGGAGTCGAACGGACTCCCGGAACTGATTAAGTTTGAGAACCAAGGTACCACTGTATCCTCAGTAAAGGACAATTTTCGAAAAAGTTCTGTGTGTTTTAGTTGAAATCATTCAGATTCTGCATGATTTATTTTGGCTGGCAGAAGCTCTCCAACACCTCAGGCAAGATCTGAGCGTTGCTTGCAGAGATCCCTTTAAAACAGGGGTGTGTTATCTTCTGTCTGCGAGCTGAATTAGTCCTGGCACAGGTCCCAATTGGCACTGTGAAGCAGTTCGTACAAAACCACACCCACCTGACCCACACCTGGTGTCATATATGACGCCAGGTGTGGGTCAGGCAGCTGGAGCAGGAGAGGAAGACAAAGGGGGAAGAAAAAGCTTTGAGTTGATGGGGGGGGCCTCTTCCCATCCTATGAACTCCCTGGGAAGCTCAGGAAACCTGGTGCACCTGAAACTGAGTGTAAAATGTGCAGCTGAATGGGACACAGCTTTGGGCAGCCTGAGGAAGCACCATTCACCTTGGGCTTGCCCATAAGAAGCAAGTCTAGAGTGAGAAACCAGGGGGATGCCTGCTGTTTCCAGGAACTCTTCTCGCTGTTTTTGTTGGACCCTGAGAGAGAACCCAGAGGCTGAGAAGGAGCGTGTGTCAGAAGGAAAATGAACCTATATTGATTTATATATATTTGTAACTTTGTCTCAGTGTAACATTTTTATATGTTGCTGTGTATTTGCGTAATGCTTTGTTTAAGCTGCTTGTAGAACTTCAGTTTTCTGTACACCACTTAGAGATATTTTGAATATATTAAGCAGTATAAAAAAGGAGGAACTATTAAAATGTTCTCCCTATTCTTCCCTGGCAACAGAGGCTTGCAGGCACTACCAGAGGCACTGACTTCAAGCCTGATGGACTTGGCTGCACTACAGGGTTCCTTGTGGAATAGCCAGCCTCATAGAAACAGCTCCTCCACCACAATTCATTGGTGTCAACGGGAGTCCCCACCCCCTAAGGTGCACAGCAGGAAAATGTTCCTGATTTTCATTTCAACCATAGATTGGAATGAACCTTCCTTGTGTACTGTGGTCCCAATAAAAACTACCTCCCGCACCTAATATTTTTGGTTTTAAAAAAACATGATAACTGTTACTTACATCTTAACATACCCTATGCATTTTCACATGCCTCCTACAGGTTAAGAAAAGAGAGACCAGACAATATTGATAATTTTTAGCCAGTTATAACTGAACATACATCAGCATTTTACAATGCATCTCTCCCCTCCCCCGCCGCCCTGAAACTGAAAGAGAATTCATATTCTTATCTCACATGCTAATATGTGTTCATGGATATAAACAGCAATCTTCATCCCGCGAACATGTCTTATGCTCAAGGCACAACACAGGAAGTACTGAGCCACTTTCCAACCATTTTCTTTTAATTACCTCCATAAAAATTTGCCCAGGGGTCTAAAGATAAAATTTATCACCAGCCATAGCAAGATTCCATCATTTTAATCCTCCTTCTGAAAGACATTAGCAATATCCACATGTACCAATGAGGCAGATTACACAGTGATAAGACAGAACAGTATGATTGCTTTTCAACGTGCAATACTTTGCTAAGAAACTCATTACACATTTGGAGAACACAAGACAAACACACCGCAGTAAACATCCATAAATTATGACTTCTGAAATTATTTCCTGTGTATCTAAAATACAGTAACAGAAAACAGATTTTTAGTTACATTTTTAGAAAGAAAAGAAAACGCAGAAAAATGATCCTTAGGGGCGAATGGTCGTACTGCCATGCCATACAACTCCAAACAAGATCAATTTACTGGGAACTAGGGTGTCTGGAAAGCTCTAACACAAACGGCAGTAATGCGAAACAATTCAACAGCCTCACTTGTTGGTTATCCCCAGTATTAGTCCAGCTAAGACAAATTTCAAAATATGACTACACTGAAATTGCAGCAGATCACTTTTGCTTACCCAGCAATGGAAATTCAAACACAAGTACAGAAGAAAATGCATTGGTTAAAGAACAAACTCTTCCCATGAGTTATTTAAAATCTCAGAAAGACCAGACATATGTCATATCTCTGCCAATCTTTCCCAGCATTTCCCATTGATTTCTTTCCCAAACATACCAGCTGAGACCCCATCTTTAAATTTCTACTGTTCCCAGTGGAGGCTTCCAACTATGTTTGGGAACCTACAATGCCACCTGGAGTGCAAGGATGAATGGATTTTACAACTTCCTGAACAGATTTACCTTTTAGTTGAGTGGTCTTTTATCACACATTGAATTCAAGGTAATGAGACAATACAAATGGACACTGTGATGAAGTGAATTTACCAACTTGGGAGACTGGTCATAGGAGCTGCCTAGTCTGTCTAAGAGGGAAGCTCCTTCCTTCTTAACAGATTCCAGGAGTGACAGGCAAACATAGCACAACCATCACTGGCCATTAACTCCTTGGTGGCTGGCTCTCAGGCCATTAGATCTGAGGAGAAGAAGCATTCAGTAATGAGACAACTGATCTGGTATAAGTTCCGTACTCTACGGCTGTATTGCTCTTTCAACGGCCATTAGGGAAGTAGAAATACTTAAGTAACAGCATATTTAAAGTTTAGGAAGTAGATTTGCTTTTTTGTGAAACTGCTCCATAAGGTTACCTTCTGTTTTTCTACTGTAAGCCATTCCCTTTGAGTCTATAAAGAAAACCTATTGAGTGCTTAGATAACCCCATTTTGTGCTGTTCAGTGGGATTGCTCTCTGAAACAGCTCTCCTTCCCTTTCAAACCTGCTTACCAAGTAAGAATTCTTAAGAATTTAAAATGTGCCGCTGGTTCTGACAAGGAAATGTGGTGATGGCAGTGAAACTACCCAGGCTAAAACTAGCCATATTCCCATTTCCCATATTCCCATTCACTCAATCATTGGGGACACCCCTATATACTTGAGGATGGTACCCATCAGAGAGACGCACATCTGTTCAGACTGTGTGTACAGTAGACATCCAGACTGCTGTGCAAGCATCACTAAACTAGCATTAAGTTTAAAAGCATGCTCCCATTAGTTTATGCAGAGATTATTCCACATGGCAGGAGGAAAATTATACATGTGAAAAGTTTATTCGGATTTTTTTCTTCGCATACCCTTACAGAAAGTAATTCAGACAGTAGTCATACACCTACTCACTTCTCCTCCTTGAAATTACTGCAAAGTATCGACAACCTCACCTAATTATCATGCATAAAATATAACTGTAGCTCAGTAATTATAACACCTTGGTAGAAATCTGAAAAGCAACTGACATGTGAAGCCAATAGATAAAGTAAAACAATGTAACTTAAAAGTAATTCTGCTTTTTTATTTTTACATTTTTGCAGAATTTACAGTCTTGCTAGGAACATGCCCTGCATTTGCCAAAAGTGCAGCAGAAAGAAATGTGAAGATTATCACTAAACTAGCAAAACCTGAATTCCAAATTAGACTTAAGGAGGCTCATCCATGCATTAAATGCTACCTGTGGAAATGTGAATTATTGACAAACTTTGACAGCCCAAATCTAACAAATACAGTAATAGCAACCAATCAGTGAACTTTATATGATAGTTCTATTTATTGGGATTTCACCACCCAGCAACAGTTAGCTAGGCTGGCACAATATTAACGTAAGTTATGAAAGGAAATTGACTTTGCTTTAAGCAAGCCTATTTCAAACAGCATATAATCATGCAATGCACTTAAGAGTAGTTACTGCAAAGGAATTACTAGTTATCACCTCCTATCAGTCTTGAATGGGATCCCATTATATGCTTCAAAACGACATCTCTTTTTCACCTAACCTCCCCATTGCCTATATAGTGAATGCTTACATACTTAATACGTACTGCACAAATATATCATCACCCACTCCCACCAAGACTCAAATGTGTACAGATTTGTAGTGTTCATGCAAAATAGGTCAGTGCACACATTATCCACTTAGTAGGATGTTCTATTCACTACTACATCTTTCTTTGGTCTAGGATCTAATGCACATGAGCTCTACATCACACTGTGACAGAACTTATTGGGTTGACTTGTTTTCTCTAGGAGACAGCAGCTAAGTGACATAATGAGGTGTTACAGCTTTCCTATTCTCAAAGCAGGTGAAATACAGTCAATTAAAAATTGTTGCCAAATAATAATAAAAAACTTGCAGCGATTTAGACTACCAAAATCCTTGTCTTTCTACTATTTCAACACGATAATGGATCTGTCCTGGGAGCTCAGAGTCTTCAAAAGAATATATTGTAAACTAAGGGAGATTCCATTGGCTTGTTAGCTACTTTCCACATTATTAGCCTGAAGCTATTTAACTAAACAATAATTCAACTGCTGTTTGCATCTCCCACATACATACAGTAAATCAACTATTCATTCTAGCTAATGAAAGCTTTTAAATACACCCATTTTCTATGTTTCTATATTTTTAATGTACACATGTCACCATTTACAACTGAAATGGCTTCATAAGATGACATCTTCCTAATTCTGGTCTGCAGCAAAATATTTGATAACGCAGACCAGAATGTTTTACTATGTTTTTATATACTGTATTGGCCTGAATATAAGCCACATTTTCCCCCAAATTCTGATTGTGAAAAGTTAAAGTTCGGCTTATACAGTGGTACTTCAGGTTACATACGCTTCAGGTTACATACACTTCAGGTTACAGACTCAACTAACCCAGAAATAGTGCTTCAGGTTAAGAACTTTGCTTCAGGATGAGAACAGAAATTGTGCTCCGGTGGCACAGCGGCAGCAGGAGGCCCCATTAGCTAATGTGGTGCTTCAGGTTCAGAACAGTTTCAGGTTAAAAACAGACCTCTGGAATGAATTAAGTACTTAACCCGAGGTACCACTGTATTTATGACCTTACGCTGCCGGCAAAGTGGTGCGGCTCCCACTCCCCGCACAGAGCAGCCCAGGAGCATGGGGCAATGGCGCCTGTCCTGTCCGCGGCTCCCAAGCCACTGAATTTTAAAGGTGAGGCTTATTTGCGGGTGCGGCTTATATCTGAGCCAATATGGTATGCTGGAAGCTGCCCACAGCGGCTGGGGCAACCCAGTCAGGTGGGCTGGGTACAAGTAATAAATTATTATTATTATATTATAATGGAAGGAGGACAAGCAAAAGGAAGCCAGAAAGTAGGAAGCATGAGATATTTGTGAAGAAATAGACAAGTGGGTAAAGTTTATAAACATTAATAAAGAAAAACTGTATATGTAACACTGCGACAAAGGTTTTCCTCCTTTGCATCAAGCAGATTAGCAAAGGAGCCAAATGAATAAATAAAAGCAGCTATACTAATATAGGTTCATTGCTTTACCAAAGGCCTGGAGGGAAAGCATGGAATGATTTGATAAAGGTTTATGAAAGAACAAAATAACCTCAGGGTAGAATGATAGCCAACATGCTGTGGCGTCCATGAAGAACAAAAACAAACAAACAGTCATAAATGCCACTGTGCCACTATGACCATTAACAATGGTTAACTGATGCCTGTTTTTAACTTTTTAGTTTGTTTTATTTCTGCAAGCTGTTGTGGCATATTTTTATGACATAGCAGCATGATAAATAGTTTTATGCATAAATAATAGCTGAGGCATGGAGTACCCATCCTAATATTAATGAAGGTCAAACCATGGCAGGAGAACGTTAGAAGGCACAAGTGTAGTGCTTAACATGGCCTTCACCTACTTCCAACCTGGTCCAGATGTTTTGAACTACAACCCCCATGAGTCCTAGGCAGCAGATCTGGTTCGGACTTATGGAGTTGTAGTCCATAACATCTGGAAGTTGGCAAACGCCAGCCTAACCTACGGGAAGTATTTTCTGAGGAAATGTGTATTTCTGTACACACAGAAATAATACAGCAACAGGATCTTCAGCCATCAACAAAACCCTTATATATTGTCTGATGATACATACTGCCAAAAAGAAATATGTTTTAAATAAATGAATAAATCCCATCCCCCCTCCACATTCTCTTACAGCAGTTCTGACATAATATGTGCATCGTAGGTATGACTCCTAAGCACATACGTTTCAATTATAAATGGTCAACCAAGATGCATTCAGCTGAAAATATTGAGCTAAAATGTTAATCAATACAATTTGCTTGCAGACTATCTCATAAGCTGAATTCATAGACAGCTGCAGCTCAGAGGTCATCTTTGAGTACGGTCTGTGAATGATTCATTTTGAATTGCTTCCCCATGTCTACTTACTGGAAATCTTTGCAAGAACCCAAACATGGTCACAAATTGTTAGGGTGGAATAGTAATTTGCAGCACTTGCTAAGAAGCAACAAAACAACACATCATTTGAGTTACCTGTGTCGAGTCCCCTGAACCTCATCCTAATAATCTGCTACAGACTCCTTGTTTTCCCATACTATGGAACTTGTATAGGAGAAAACAAACACAAGCTTATCATACCAATAATGTACACTGAGCCAGCGAACAGTTCTGCCAAGAGATCCCAAAAATGGAGTTTAAAGGAAGCAAGAACTTCAGCAATTCCACTCCCAAGAAGAATATGGAATATGAATACAAATAGACAAGAGAATAATTAATTCAGAACAAGCCATCAGCAGAGGTGTGGTGCTGAAGGCACTCAACATACAGTATCAAGGCACATGCTAAACATAAAGCAAGAGACATTCTGCCAATGCAAACATCAAATCAGTCAAAAAGCATTGGGGGCAGGGGGGGTTAAGGTGATCTTGTAGGTAAACTGGTCCCATGTTGTTAAGGGCTTTACAGTGGTATCTTGGTTCCTTTCCCTTGTTCTTCATCTGGCAGCTGCAGTCAGTGCAGAACGTTGCAACATGATTGCTAACAGGAGTGAGGCCTTGTTAGCATATGACACCAGTACAGTGGTACCTCGGGTTAAGTACTTACCGTATTTTTCGCTCTATAAGACGCACCAGACCACAGTTTTTGGAGGAAGAAAACAAGAAAAAAAATATTCTGAATCCCAGAAGCCAGAATAGCAGGAGGGATCGCTGCGCAGCGAAAGCAGCGATCCCTCTTGCTGTTCTGGCTTCTGGGATAGCTGCGCAGCCTGCATTCGCTCCATAAGACGCACACACATTTCCCCTTATTTTTTAGGAGGGAAAAAGTGAGTCTTATAGAGCAAAAAATACGGTAATTTGTTCTGGAGGTCCGTTCTTAACCTGAAGCTGTTCTTAACCCGAAGCACCACTTTAGCTAATGGGGCCTCCTGCTGCCGCCGCACCGCCGGAGCCCAATTTCTGTTCTTATCCTGAAGCAAAGTTCTTAACCTGAAGCACTATTTCAGGGTTAGCGGAGTGTGTAACCTGAAGCGTATGTAACCCGAGGTACCACTGTATATAAATGTATCACAGCCAATCAGTAGGAACATCTATTTGTTTAGCAAAACATGCCAAATCAGAATCAGTAAGAGTCCATCACAAAGAGGCACGCTGTCTCAGTACATGAGGGCTGGTTCACATATTACAAAGAAGAGAGGTTATAATCCTTTCCTTCTACGGTTATTTAAAGAAGTCTAAAAAAGCAGAGACCTCAAAAACTAGCAACAGTCACCACAGTTTGAATTAATCAATGGAAAATCATCTTGAGATAAGTTTTTTCGCAATCACATAAGCAGGTATCTAGTCAGCCAAGACCAGCACAGAAGCAACTAACTGTTTGAAAGTATATAAGTAATTACAGCATGACAACCCTGGAAAGAGAGTTTGCGGTGATCATATTACTGCAAATTCCACATCTAGCTTCCAATATAAATAAGTATATATATGTTCTCTTTTCCCCCCCAGTCTGTAACCAAGCTTTTGTGTTTGAGAATCACCCTGACATTTTATGCATTACTTAATTACTCAAATTGTAGAAAGAGTCGCAATTAATGCATTTCTATTTAAAGAAAACATAGTTCTTAATAGTTTTTAAATCGTCAAGCAATTATCTGAAAGCATATAGACAGGGTGGTGGGGAGGGCTTTTCCTTCAATCAGTCCAATTCACATGTAGCATTAAAATGCATTTATAAACTAATTGTGGCTTAACACAAATGAGCAGCATACTGGTGCATACATCTCAAAAGTTCCTGATGAGCCCTTTCGGTGCCCCTGCCATGCCAGAAAGAATAACAGAATAATAGAGTTGGAAGGGATCCCAAGGATCATCTAGTCCAACCACCTGCAATGCAGAAATATGCAGCTGTCCCATACAGGGATCGAACCTGCAACCTTCATGTTATCAGCACCATGCTCTAACCAACTGAGCAACTTTGTGTTTCTGTGAAAATAAGTGTTTGTGGTTTGTTTCCCCAAGAAACCTTGGCAATCGCTTATGGTTTGTTGGAGATAATCAATCCACAAGCACTGGTTTGCATAATACATAAAGACAGCCACCGACTTTTTTCCTCTGGTATACAGGAGCAGGGAAGGATCACATCAGGGACTTGCAAACCAGGAAATCATCACAATCAGCATGACTTTGGTTAGAATTTGTGTAGAACACGTGTTTCTAGAATTGAAGAAGTGGTGGCATTCATTTCCCATTCACATATATAGCTTGGCATCAACTTCCTTTGAGCTACATTCAAATACGTGGTTTACAAAGAAAGGTTGGGGGCAAACAGAAAGTAGGCCAAATTTAATAGACGCCATGGTGAATGCTGTGAGGCTTTACACTTCTCACATAATGTGAACCGAGGTATACTTACAGAATTGTAGGCTAAGGCTCAGAAAGGCTAACAAGGCTGCCAAGGCCAACAAGAGCAAAAAACGATTTCGGAAAAGCATTATTATTCTTTCTGCTACTTCTTCATGATTTCACCTCCATAGTCAGAAACTTCCTGTCAACACAAATACAAAAATAATGCATTAGAGATAACCCTCACCCTTTTGAGAAACTCTGAAGCTCCAGGATTAAGAAAAAAAGGACATGATTTCTTTCTTTTTTTAAATTCTTTTTAGTAAGTATTAGTAAAATAACTATTTCCAAAACAAAAAGATCAGACAGATAATATACACATTTATTATATGAAAAAGTCAAAACAATATTCACCAGAGCCTACCTTGCTATCCTTTACTACCTAATACTATTATTAATCACTTCATTACTATCACTTTATCACTGATTACTGAAATAAACTAATAAATTGCAATTGTATCTTTACAAATTCCCATTGATTACAAATTAAATTGATACTTTACAAATTAAATTGATACTTTAGAACAGAGGTAGCCAATAATGTCGTGCCCCCTCCAGTTGTTGTCGGGCTCCATCTCCCATTGGCCTCAGCCAGCATGGCCTATGAGAGATGCCGTCCAGGAACAGCTGGAGCAGGGGTAGGCAACCTAAGGCCCATGGGCCGGATGCGGCCCAATCTCCTTCTCAATTTGGCCCACGGACGGTCTGGGAATCAGCATGTTTTTACATGAGTAGAATGTGTCCTTTTATTTAAAATGCATCTCTGGGTTATTTGTGGGGCCTGCCTGGTGTTTTTACCATGAGTAGAATGTGTGCTTTTATTTAAAATGCCTCTGGGTTATTTGTGGGGCATAGGAATTCGTTCTTTCTTCCCCTCCAAAATATAGTCTGAGGGCTGGTGGACTGGCCCACGGCTGAAAAAGGTTGATGACACCTGAGCTGGAGGGTATCACCTTTGTCATCCCTACCTTCAAATAATAAAGAGACTTTGCTTTGCATGAGGAAGCAATGAGTTCCCTTTGCAATATTCAATAAATGGTTTCCAGCATACCAAAAAATCCTGTTGCCTCCTCCTTTAAACCATTTTTTTCATTCTAAGTTTATTTTTCCCTGAAAATAACTTGTTCTTCACCTGTTGTCAAGTGCCAGGGGCCCTTTACTGGGAAATAAAGGTTTTAATACATTAACTATTCAGCAAAATCCACTCAGCTTATTTCAAAATGCGATTGAGGACTGATATTCTGAGCATTTCAAAAGGCATACAAATAATTCCAAATCGTGCTTTGTACAAAGCAGTTAGGGGCGGTATTCAACTATTCAGAGTCGTTACACTCAGAATAGACCCATTGAAGTAAGTGGGTTTAAGTAATGTAAGTAACTGTTTAAAGGCTAAATCCTATGATCCCTGTGAGGTCATCCAAGGGGCCATAGGAAATGTTTTGGAGCTCCCTGTCTGCAGGCAGAGAAGGTGGTCCATCCTGAGAACCTACATCCCAGCCATCACAGAAAATGTAACGGCAGTGACTGATACCCTCTCTCCACTGCTGAGGGCAAAAAGGAGATGTTCTGAGGACATGTAATGTGTGGCTCTGGATCCAGTGGATTCAAAACCCTTCAATTTCCCGGGCACAGCCCTGGAATGGGGGGTGGAGGTGGAACTAGCTCCTGAGGGAGCAATCCTATTTTCTTTCCCTTCCCTTCCCTTCAAGGAAAACTCTTCAAGAAAATACGATCAACGAAAGGAGGGAAAAGAGAATGATGACAGCCCTGCATATGTCCAGTTGGGTATTAGCCCAGGAGGGTTTTGGTTTTGGCAGGTCACCCCGTCAATTTCTCTCTCTCTTGTCAATGTAGGCCTGGACTGCCAATGGCTTTCAAATACCAGAGCAAGGCAAAAATGGTGTTTTAAAAGAAAATCGTGACATCTAATAAATAAAAGTAATTATGCCATCCATGATTGATTTGGGATCATTCCCAATGAACAACTGTGCCCAACAGAAGCTGCCAATGCAATTTGTTTTCAGGTGCTACTTGATATTGGCTTTCCTTGGGATCAGGGACATGTACTACAATAATACGATATAACTCATGAATAATACTGCAATAAAAACTATTTACATTGCCAAACAAAATGACACACAGCCAGGATATTAAAACTGTCACTTTCAAGTCTATCATAATCTATAACGGGGGGGGCTCATACAAGAATACAGGAAACAAATAAACCTAATGCAATCAAGTTACAGGACCACCATAGATGCAGCAATACATTCACAAATGAAATAAATAATAATACTCATCTCTTAATCTGCGGGTTGCCATCTGATTGGATTTTTTTTCTGATTCCGGTCTGATTTTAGGATGTATTTTAATTGATTGCCTGATCTGATGTTAATGTGTTATACATTTAATGTTAGCTGCTCTGAGCCCGGTTTTGGCCGGGGAGGGCAGGGTATAAATTATTATTATTATTATTATTATTAATCATATTTGAAGGCCACCAGAAGTGGCGCTGTGGGTTAAACCACAGAGCCTAGGACTTGCTGATCAGAAGGTCGGCGGTTCAAATCCCCGCGATGAGGTGAGCCCCCATTGCTTGGTCCCTGCTCCTGCCAACCTAGCAGTTCAAAAAGCATATCAAAGTGCAAGTAGATAAATAGATACCGCTCTGGCGGGAAGGTAAATGGCGTTTCCATGCGGTGCTCTGGTTCACCAGAAGCGGCTTAGTCATGCTGGCCACATGACCCGGAAGCTGTATGCCGGCTCCCTCGGCCAATAAAGAGAGATGAGCGCCACAACGCCAGAGTCAGCCACGACTGGACCTAATGGTCAGGGTCCCTTTACCCTTACCTTTTAGAAGTATCTAACTGCTAGAAAGGAAATATAGCTAAAATATTAAGATGTACGGCATGAGGCTATATCAACAAAGCTGAAACATTTAGACAACAAGGGAAGAGTGGGGAGTTAGGCTGTAGCTAGGCTCCCCACTTGTGCAATGCTCTCTCCAGGGAGGTTTGCCTAGCACCTTTGTTACATATTTTTAGGTGCCAGGCAAAAAAAATTCCTTTTCCCAGGCCTTGGCTAATGAAAAAATCTATGGCCTTTTAAACTGGGGTGTACTGTTTTGTTTGTTACTATGTTACATATTTTGGTGCTTTTTATACTGTTTATACTTTTTATACTGTGATCTTCGCATGAAAGCGGTATAGAAATTTAAGAAACAATAATAATAACTGGGCCACACACTCTCTATTCCTATTTTTTTTAAAAAAAATAAAATCAGCCCATTGCCTCAGAACTAAGCATGGGCTGCATTTTTCCATCAATAAACCTGAAGAGACTTATCTACCCAACCGGAGCTGTTCTACAAAGTGACAGCATCACACAGGGCTCTTTAAGAAGTACACTAGATGCTTCAGGTTCCCTTTATGGAGCAGGAGGAGAAATGTTGCATGTGAAGCCCCTGAGAGACAATGAACACTACCACTATGAGTTCTAATCTTTCTGGCACTCCCTTTTATTTCTACGAATACTGTTGTCAGCCAGAAACCGCCTAGCAAAAGAAACCACATCACCATCACTTGTGAGTCATTGGTATCTCACTGCAGTGTTCTTTCTACAGCAAGCTACCAGACTGTTTAAATTAATGGACGCATATAATAAAAACATGAAGCAGTCTTGAGTTTACAACCTGGATCTCATATAATAGACCACTGTATGTAGAGGTTACCAAAAAATTATTCTCAGCAATGCAGTATGACCATGTGATTTGACTTAATCACATCAAGGGACTCCACAATGGTGCCCTTCTAGATTGTGCAGCGTAAACTTGTGTAGAGAATTTGGTCAAGCTGCAGGTTTAGCAGTTTTTGCTTCAGCCACCATACAAAAGAGTATGTGGTCACTTCCATGGGGGAGTCAGAAGCAGCCCATCGTTCTGCTACTTTAGAGCAGCAGCCTCCTGTCTCGCCCAGAGTAAACACATTATTACACTGAATCACTGTGACAGTTTAAATGAATTGATTAAAATGGCTTGTCTCCATAATAATCAATAGCACTCTTCAAAGTCTGCCTCCATGAAATTACTGTACTTATCTGGTGTGAGAGATCAAAACGATGCAAACTGACACAATATGAGAAAGTGAGAGAGAGAGAGAGAGAGAGAGAGAGAAACAGTAAATGAAAAAACTCACCACTGTAAGGAAGAAAGTAAACGATACAAACATTGAACAAGATATACATATACCATATTTTTCTGTGTATAAGACTAGGTTTCCCCCCTAAAAATAATGTCAAAAATGAAGGGGTGTCTTATACACGGGCCATCTCCCCCTATTTTCTTAAATCTGAGTCCCCAAAAATAGGGGGCATTTTATAGACGGAAAAATACAGTAACTCAATGTAGTAAAGTTACAGGAAAGGCAAAAGAATAGCTTTCCTCCAGCTTTCCAACAGACCAATCTACTGAGACAGCAGTTGTTCCTTCTCACAAAGATATGCCCCCAAGAAGGTTACAGCAGTGTTGGGGAAAACAAGTCTCCATTGCCAACCAAACCTCAGGGGTGTGAGGAACCTCAGGAAGTGTCCCATCAGAGGCTCTCAGTGATTTAGTTAGAGCATAAGGAATCATTATTTGTGAGTTCTTCAAAAGTTATTGGGCCTTTCAAACTATCAGCAACTCCAGAAGTTAAATTTAATATATAGCTGTTTTGTGGGGCGGGGAGGGGGGGGGACCTGGGATCTTATTCTCCACTTTTTTAAGTTTCACATAAAAATCAGGAAAGACATGCACTATATCTTTGGGGGGAATGTTATCACACTTCTTTTATCGAGTTACCTTTTTCCACTGGTGTGTGTAAATAGCAGTAAGTTCCTGTAAATATAGCACGCAAAGTTTTGACTGAAGCACAATTTGACTGTTTTGTAATGGCCTCTAGGCTTCTGTTCACCTATTACGAACAGCTATGAAAAATAAATATTGAGTGACTGACCCTTAACTCCTTGCTTAGACATAAAACAGAATAATACAGGTGAAAGTATGAGTATGTGCCATGAGCTCAGCTCAGTTCTGCTTGGCAGTTTGCCTTTCCCATTCTACCTAAAAGTTCTGTCC